GTTCCGTCTGCTGGATGTTCTGTATTGATCGTTTCAACGAGGTGACGCCTCCTGTGTGGAAATGATTGATAGAACGAAATTAACCTGTGCTCGTTCTCGAGGCGTCGTGGGTACATTAAGACCTTGTGTAAAGCAGGAGACACCCTGCTTGTTTCAGCAGTGGCAAAGAGCAGAGGTTACACTAAAAAAAACATCTGAGCAAACTTTAATAATGGTTCAAAGATGAAGTTTTATGTTCTTATTACCCTTCATATATTTTAACTGGAGAAACCACACAACTTGTAGCAGCAAGGAGTCCAATGCATGCCATCCTACTGTTATAACAGCGTCTATTGCACATGCTGCACAGCTATAGCATATTTGAAAACTATATTGCACTTATAAAAGGTCATGAAGATCAGTCCAAACGTATGCAGGCAGCGCGGTCCACAGTGGGGATGGGTGAGGTCTTTTAAAACGTACCAGGCCCTGATTGGGAGCAGTGTTGGTCAGGTTTAAAAAGTAATTACTTACTACTTACTGAAAGTAATCCTTTTCCTTTACTGATTACATATTTTAAAAAGTAATTAGTTACTTAGTTACTTTTGAAAAACAAAATGAATACGTAATAAAGCAATAGACCTTTCAGCCCAATTCTATTTTTTCTGCATAATCCATCATATAAAATTGAAAGCTAAAAATCTAAAAATCATTTTATTAGTTTTAATCTATTAAAATAATGCACATTGCATTAAGCAAAAATTAAATTATATGCAATAGTGTTTGACTTGAAGAAATTGTTTAACATTTAAACCCATGTTCTGCATATTCCAGTATATAAAATTAATGTTTTGTGTTTACTCTCACTCTTTCAAATAAATGCAAGTAAAACGCAGAGAAAAAAATAAAGTTAATAAAGAAGCTACTGTTAGCTACGTCATATGGTGAGTGTGCGCTTGGTATTCAGTAAAGTAACATCTGGGCTTTGGTGTCAGATCTCTGTCATGTTGGAATCATGCAAGCGAGTGTCTGCACTTCCTCTTAGCAATCCCACAGCCAAGTTTCTGTTGGAAAACCTTCAGACATCTAATCACTGAGTCATAACTTTGCAGACGAACAGTGACAACAATGCTGAAGATGATGACAAATGCATATTTAAACATTCCCATAAGAAAGAATAAAAGGAAAACTACTAGAAACTGTTTATATAAATACAGACAGGTAGGAATGACTACTTTAACAAGTCTTAGCTAAATAATCTGGGTAATTCATTGATGTATTGCACGCTGAATTTGATCACAGCCCAATGTCCTGTATTTGCCAATAAAACAAAAAAGCTTTTTCATATAAAAGAAGAAGCCAAAAAAAATAATAATAAAATCAAAGCACTGAGTCCGGTCGTTCTTAATTCGATTTTCACCTGTTTAGCAGGAGTGGGGCAGGTGGAGGTTTGCCCGGTGCCACAGCCGTCATGTCCGTGGGGGGAGCCGGTGGTGAATGACACATTCCCGTGGCCGCATGCTCGGTGCTTGCTCAGATTTGAAGTTTAATTCTCCACTGTAGAAAGAAGTTCCCATGCAGAGTGTACAGCGGACGCCATAGCTGGACTGGCCATCGGGTATACCAGGCATTTTCCCGGTGGGCCGATGATTTTTATTTTTCTTGTAATGGCATGGACAATGAGAGGTGGTGGATTGGCCAGATGCTGGCCGGTTTGTA